ACAAAAAATTTCAGTAGCGCTTGCTTCGATTTTACTATTCGAAAAGAAAGTTTTCTTAACTCGTTAGCTTGAATTTTGTTGTGACGATACCTTGCTCTGACAATGTTCCTCATATGACGGACGAAAGCTTAGCACCTTTTCATCGAAATCGAAAGAGATTACCACGGAAACAGCGTCGGCATGAATCTTCCAGTAAAGTCAATCGACAGCTGGTCAAGAGGAATTCGCCGTCGCCTTCTGGTGGAACCGACCTTCGAATCTCTTCAGCCAACACTTTTACTCAAAATGGAAGTAACCTTAACAACATCATATGCTGGACATCATCATTATAAGAATGAAATATTTAGCATCTTTTAAAATTATGTCAACTTTGAATGGAATAAATCCCTCGTAAATACAACTTAAGACCAAAAAATGGCCTTGTGATAAGGAAATAAGTCTGAAATGAAAAGTATTGTAAGGAATATCCATGCTATTTGTGAAGCCTGTATCTTTCACCCAACTCGAATTTTAAACAGTCCCTAAAATCCTCAAATAAGGAAGAATAGTTGTCAAAAAGAGGATGGGAAGATTAAAATAATTGACAGAATCTATGATAAATGATGAAGTGGAATAAGCTTACCTGTTGTACACCTTCCCCTCCAACATCCCGAATCGAATGAAATAGACCAGATTTGCTGCTTATCTTGTCGACCTCATCAAGAAACACAATTCCCTGTTGGGCACGCTCGACGCTAAAATTGGCATCCTGGAGCAGTTTTGAGATCACGGATTCTATGTCCTCACCTACGTATCCAGCTTGGGTAAGTGTTGTACAATCACAAATTGCAAATGGTACGTCCAAGCACTGTGCTAGCGTTTGGGCAAGCAGAGTCTTACCTAAAGAATATCATAATTGAGGTGATTGAATAGAAGCCATAAATCAAATAACAAAACGACTGAATCTGATAAGTAAATAATAAGAATATTGAGCTTCCTGGACCGACTGAGATTCTTTCGCATTTTCTTAAAGAGAAAACAGATAAAATAATTGTAAAAATATTTGTGATAAATGTAATGCATTTTAATCGAAGATATGAAGACCAAGATGGTGTGGTAATGCCTTTTAGCTTGGAGGGATATGGACCAAATAAAAAAATTTATCAAAAAATATAACAATCCAGAGGATAAGTAGAAATGCACCTGGTGATGAAGGATTGGTAGTTGAATTTTCCCACAATGATATGAATAGGTCCCATGTTTACATTGAATTTCACATAGCCTTGCTAAAGGAAAAAAAGATGTTCTCATCCAGAATGGACTGTAGCTTCGAACTTACCAAGGTATCATCAGAACATCACAGCAGGCCTCGAAGCATGACAGTGTAGCGTATGATCTCGAAACGTTAAACACTAAGCCAAAATGGTACGAATGGGAACTAGAGGCCTACTTATCTCATAATAAAAAATTCAAATACCGGTCCTCCATCACTTTAAACGAAATAGGGTGAACACAGTTCTTAAACCAGATCCATTGGTGCGATAAGTATTGTATTTGCCCGTTTCCTTATTTTCAATCTATTTAATATCGAACACTCGTTTTTATTTAGTATCGTGGAAATTCTGAAAACTAAGTAAAATTCATACTCCTTCTCAACCCTCACATAATGATGATCTTGTAACCTGCGCATATCAAGCATTCTAGAGATAACGAGTAAGATGCTTCATGTCTTAATTCTGAAAGTGTATCGTTTGACTTAAGTAACAAAAATTTAATATAACAACCTATTGAAAAAAGCGTTAAAAGCGATTCTCCAATTAAAACTGATTTTGTGATCAACTCAATGAAATTTTGTGGATAAAGCAAGAAAAATGTCAAACATAAAAGTACTCAAAACCTATTAACGATGAATATAAGAAAGAATTTTCCGAAAGGGATTAGATCGCCTACCTGATCCAGTAGGACCAAGAAGAATTATGTTGCTCTTTTCTAGCTTTACAGGCTCATCGGCGGTCAGAAGATCATGCAAAAGGCGACCTCCGCGAAGTTGAGCATTTGTATGGCCAGACTCTGTTGCATCCATCCCACCACTAGCACCACTTCCACTACTAAAAGAGGTTACACGAGCGGATCTTGAGAAAGCACTAAGATTGCCAGGGCTCCCTTTGATAGGTGATGATGGCGTTGATGGTAAGGGATGTGAGAGCGAAGTTGAGCGCCCGCTTTGCGATCGGGGACGACCAGGACTTGGGGACCCATTCAACAGGAGAAATAACTCTGTTGTTGTCAGTGAGATGAACATATACGTGCATGGGATTGAATGCAGTGTACGCAATATAGTGCGTGGATTTTTAAAATAAATTTAAGGTGTGTTTGTAGGTAGTTGAGACGTACGGATACAAACGCATGCTTAATGGATGCATATAAATGTGCACATGTATGCGTGAAGGAAGTCCCAGGAGTGGACAATTAAAGGTAATTCCAGATAGTCCAGTGAATGATGAAAATATGAAAAGGAAAACGGGGCAGCAGATAAATAAGAGAAAACGAAAAATTTTCATTTTAATATAACGAACAAAAATACATAACAAGAACAGGTATTAATTTACGAATGTATATGAATGCATAAAAACGCTCTTAAAAAAGTATTAAATGCTCAAAAACTCCACATATGAAGAATAGAAGTTGAAAGGAAAGATTTTGGTCTGCGGAGCTAGTACAGAAAAGGGAGACAAAGGTTTAACCATGTATTCGAGAATGGCAGAGATTGGTGTTGAGGAGTGAAGAGTTTTGTCAAAGCTGCAGAAATGAGAGACAAAACGGTAACACAAATAATTAACAATATCATTAAGATAGGAGTTAACACCTTGATGGGACCAAAATTTTAGCTTGGCAAAGGAGTGGTCAAAGTAGTAGAAATGTGCATCGTTTATGATCTTCTCTTTGTGATTTTTTGGTTCCTTCCCACTTGACTTTGTATCGACAGTAGACTGGTCTTGTTGACAAGTTAGTTGATTTTTGGTTTCATCTGGGAGGAAAGAAGTCAGATATGAGCATAATTGTTAACCATAAGAGTGAAATATCAGAATTTGGATAGGGTCTAAGGAAGTGATGTAAAGGAGTAGATGTAAAGACGGAGCTTTTATAGACCAATGCACACACAGGATGCAAAGATTACGTGTGAAAGTCATTAGCTCATAGCGTTTGTATTGAATTTGATCCGCCCTAACGATAAAAAATTTCCCGAGCTCCTGTCCACCATACGATCTTAAAGAAATGCCCGAGTGCCATCACTCAATCGACATCGTTATTAATTTCATCAGCATTGTAAATATAATCAGAGAAATT